CAAACTCCTGAGCTCCTGCATCAGCAACTTTGCGTGATGCAAGCTCCATGAGAAAAAATTTGGGTCACTGGTTGTGCTGAAGGTAAAAGAGTTATAGAGGTAAAAAAGGCTATAAAACGCAAATTTTGCTAGATACCACTGGCATTGTCCCAGCCACTCCCTCTCAGACTAGTGTTTGGAAATTTGTGGCAAAATTTAAATGCTGTGCTTTCGAAAGAATCTGCATTTCTTATCAGTTTCCATCTGACCAGGCTTGCAGTTGGCCATTCACTGGAATGGCATTAAACAAAGGCTTTTGTTTAGCAGCAGGCTGAGTGTACACAGCTGAAGAAGGTGGTTTGAACTAGCCTGACTGACCCCTTTTGAAGCTCACACAATCTTTTCTGCTGACAGGGATGGGAGAGCAAGGGGGAGTTTTGGGTCACTGAAAAGCAGCATTGCATGTTAACATCTTCAGAATCATAGCTGATTCCTCAGTGCATGTCTGTCCATAGCAAAAGTCACCCACAGGTCTCATGCAAACATGAAAACATTGCTTTCAGTGTGACTTTCTGCGTCAAGCATTGTGCTCAGGGAGTGCATCCAATGGGAACAGAAATGCTGGGGATAGGACCTTTGGGTTTTGAGCAGAACTGAAAGAGGTGAAAACCACTCACCTCATGACATCCTTTTCTCAAAATAGCATTCTTTTTTCAAGAGGCAGACACTCTCATCAATTGCATTGCATGGAATTTCACCAGAATTGTCAGGGAAGAAACTACTCCTGTCCCTCAATAAAGCAAAGCTTAAATTCAACCCAAAGAAAAGAGAGCTCCGTTCCCCTATTTCTGTCCGTCCTAAGAGTACTCAAAAATATTGATGGCATGACACATGTTCATAAATGTTTTATACATCAAAGTGTCTCTTCAGGCTCGCCTGCATGCACAGTGCTACCACATGAAAAGCTGCTACGTGCCTGATGCTTTCAAATGCCACCTGGTGTATTTAGAAAGCTGAGAGAGATGTCAGAGCACAGGGTCAGGTTCTCAAGAGAGTTAAGGCACTTAGCTCACATCAGCCAGGATCTAAATTTACAAAGAGCTTTAAGGTCCTTTTCTTCAGCTGTTTAGAGCAACTGTCCAGCTGCTTCCCAAAGTTTCCTGGTGTTGCTGAATTGCTGGTCTGCTTTTTTGGCTGGACCCCAGCGCCACTCTCAAGCTGAACACCCTCCTGCTAGTTGATCTGCAGAAACTCTTCCCCTATCTCAGGCCTTCTCCAAATGGACGTGAAAGGCACCCAAGAAGAGACTTCTGGAGGCTGTTATATGTGGTTGTGCCTCAACCAGGCTAGCTATCCAGTGGTAAGGGTGTTTGTGATGACAGAAATTGTTTGTGAAGTCCCTTGTCTTTTTGGACAGAAGACCCAAGTCTGTGGGTGACTTGATGCAAGAGTCAGAGTAGCTGGTGGTGAAGCAGGCTATGGACATGTCTAAATAGACCAGTTAACCTCCAGATTTCAGCTTGTTCATGTCTTCCCCACCCAAAACTGGGCAGAAGGATTTGAATTGGTGCATGACCAAGCATCATGCATGACAGGATGGGACATGCTCAGAGCTATTCTTTGGCCTCTGTGTATGAAACCATCTTCACAGAGAAGATTGTGGAAATGGCAGATACTGGGACCTTGTGGGGAGAGGTGTTTAATGTTTGGTAGACTGGGTTATTTTTACATGCTTCACATCTTCAGAGCACAGCTCAAAATACATACAACTACAACTTCATAGGACATATGAGGAAATAGAAATAGATTTCCAAGGAGAAGAAAAGAAGGGACTTTCATATGACTAGAAATGCCATAGATTAGACTATTTCTCATTCTTGATAGTACCTGGTATTTGGGAATCAAGGCTGTCACAGGTTTGGTAAGACACATTCCCATCACGATCTTTGTGATCTGAGCAGTCAGAGCCCAGAGCTCTCTGAATCCGTTAAGTTGGGTCAGGACATTGTCTATAGGTCCATAAACACAAGCAGGTAAATTATAGCAATGGAAAGGAGAAATTATCCTGTTGCTAGAGTTTTGGATGGAGAGAGGGAGAGACCCAAGACTTGTTAAAAAAAGTTAAACTGGAGACCACAGTTGTGACCCTAAGCAGGAGCCACTAAGGACACAGAAAAGCAGGGCTGTGCTGTAAGAAGGTAAGTAGGGGTAGGAGGTGGAGTGCTGACACATTGCCTGCTCAGCTTTCTGCAAAAGCTCCCAAGGTTTGCAGCACAGCTTTCTGGTGTAGCTGAGCTGCATCCATGCCTTGCTGCAAGGGACAGTGCATTTTTTCCTGCCTGCTTCCTACCGCTTCTCTGACCCCCTTGTAAGCCTGTTCAAGCAGATACAAGGAAGAAACATACCTTTTTTACCCTAAATCTTGTCAGTTTTGACTTGGATCCCTATCTCTGACCTGCTCTCTGTGGGGTCAGTTGACCACCACTTTAAGGGTCAGAGAGCAAAGGCAGAGAAAAGTGATCAGGACCAAGACTATGCTGTTCAGCAACACCTATCTATTAGGTGCACCTATCAACTCGTCTTGGTGCACAGGAACCTCAGTGCACATCTGAACTTGCAGAAAACTGAGCAACAAGCCAAGAAATACTGGGAGTATTTCTGTACTGGGAGTAACAGATTGATGAGTAGGCTCCCTTCCTGTAGGTATGTGCACATATGCATATGTTAATGTGCGACTTAGAGGAGAAAACCCTCTGCAGAAAAATATTGCTTCACACAATGTGGCTGGAAGTTCAGCGCACATAGTCTCTAGCTTTGTGCTTTTGTTGGTCAGGGACAAGTGGCACATTATTGTCCTGGATGCAGCAAGAAAGGTGATGTCAGTAAGCCTTTGCTGACCTTTAGACTTTAGGTTCTGGGATCTTATCTCAGTGGAAATACTGGGTGCTAAATCTCTTTACAGTTCTTTTTTTAAAAGTATGTGAAAGTTGGTGAAAGACATAAAGAAGAAAGGAAGTTGTTTGGGGGATGATAGGTTACATTTTTAGAGCTTTTCACCTTTTATAGTGCAGTGAAGTACCTATGCATGATTGCTTTTGGCTGCAAGGAGAACTAACATTTAGTAAATTGTTCAGAACTACAGCAGTAAGTGTAGTGCGGGCCTGATGAACAGGTCTGCCTGCACATCTGGATGTCTTCTGTTGCCAGGGTCATGCATCTTGATACACTGCTCATGGTTGTACCTCATCTTATGGAACCTGCATCCCTCAGGCCAGTGCTGAGGTCCTGGGAAGACAATGGAGATTCTTTTGCAACTGTCTCCTGCTTTGAATTGCAGGTTTCTACTGGGTGGTTCTGCTTGGTTTCTACTGGGTGATTCTGCTTAGAACAGGAGGTTTCAGTTGATGTTCTCCACAGATCCCTTCCAAACTAACATTTATGTGTTTTTATAGCTTCCAAATTTCTTTTGCATCTTTCTGGGATTACATTGAGCCTGTGGGTCTCTGTCATGGCTGCCTCTTAGCACAAAGGTTCCTGGTCTGCTCAGTGCAGTAGGATTAGTTTCACTTGAGCCATCTCTGGGC